GTCCAGATTATGCCAAAACCGCCAGAAATCAACTTGTTACTTGCCAGAAATCGTTTCAACTCCTTCTCCTCCACTCTGACAACAACCATTCCTGACATGCGCAGTTGTAGGTCAGCCTCCCCAATCTAAACTTGCAGTTTACCTGTGCTTTTTATAGGGAGCACCCTCTAGTGTCATTGGCTGCCACAACACCACAATTACCCTGCCAGCAGGTGCAATTCATCCTGCCACACTAACTTTGGCAAAAAAAAAAAAAAAGGAAAAAAAGAGCAAATGTCATGAAAATCACAGGATTTCAGATCCGCCGAATCCACCTCCCTGGCACAGAGGGAAGAGATTTTTGCTGAGACCCCACCCACATAAAAAATCCAAGCAAGCGGATTGGTTAGTGCTTCGTTTGGGGTGTCAGCTTCACAGCTACAGGTTTTCACATCAGAATTTCTCACATGACCGGCAAGTCAGCTCCAGGAGCTGAGAGAAGCTGACATCCAGGCGCTCCGTCCAAACACGACGGACAATTCGACGGCCGAGGGACTCCATCCTCATCCGCCACTCCACCGAGACACGCCGCAACAGCAGCAAGCAGCCAGCCCAACCGGCAAGGTAGATGATATTTACCAAAGTTAGGATAACTTATGGTCGATGCTTGTATACACGCCATAGGACGCTTGTGTGCTGTTGTTTTTCGAAAATGATGTCCGTCATTTGCGTCTTTGATCCTCCTACAGAGGGCTCGACACACGGGCAGCGACAAACTACAGCGGCTGTCATCGCAGCCAGGTTAAAAACCCGACACACGGGACGCGATAGCGATCACAGCGTTGCGAATCGCGCACTTTCAGGTCGCTTGTCTTCACGAAATTTGATTGGTTCTTGACTCTGAGTCACGAACCAATCAAATTTTGTGAAGACAAGCGACCTGAGAGCGCGATTCGCAACGCTGCAATCGCTAAGGTAAATTTGGTCAAAACAGACCTGCAGATGCCTGTAAAGCCAAATGGGATGCATTTTCCTGCAGCGATACTGCACAGCTACATACATCTGCCGCCACCGCCGCCATCTTCTATAATAAAATAAAATAAAAAATAAACTTTTTCTTTCAACTATCTGTGTGTGTAAATGTGCGCATATTCACCACTTCACTAGTCTCATCGCGGAGTAGCTAAAAACTTCAGATCGGAGAGGCGGCAGTGCAGCGCACCTCTTCCGGCGGAGTCTACTCTGCACAGACCCATTCTGTAACCTGTTACATCGGTGAAACGGAAAACCCTCACTTTTATTACAAAAACACTTAGTTTTTGTTTGAAACCTGACATTTCGTTGGTAGACTGCTGCTATGAACATGATCACCAGCAGAGAAATCATTAGGCCCATTTATTAYAAAAGGGTGCAGCTTTGTAAAAAATAAAATAAAATTACAGAACATAAAAAGTCTGCAATTTCCATTTTTATATAGCCTATATTTTATATCTAAAGATACATTTAGGATATTGAATAACGATGTCATTATGTCATCTTGAACTGGAGCCTCCACCTTAATTGTAAATCTGACGCCATTTAATAGTATTGTGC